GGCGTGCTCCCTCAATCGGGGCAACTATAAGAAATGTGGACTACAACCCACAGAATTGGGGAAAGTGGAAAGGCCCCCATCTTAAGGGTCCCAGGGTTGAGGAACCCTGGTCTATGGTATAATCTTGCTATTTGAGTTGTTGATAGAGCTTTCTTTCACTTTTTTTGACACATTTTTTAAAAGTCAGGTAGAAGTAGAAATCAGAGGTAAAATTCATTTGTTTAACATCACATAGTATTGTAAACTTTTCCCCTTTTAAATAAAGGGTTAATGTTTTAGGATTCAATTAAAGTCTCATTGATTCCAGTAAGAAATTTATGTCTCTAGGCTTACTGAATTGATGCTTCAATGTTCTGTCTAAAATTATTCAACATTTCTTCATTTTTATTTTCAGGAGAAAATCTTTAGCAAAATAGTTTTGTCATTCTCCCTTCTGTTTCTCAGTAGGACTTGAGAATACAGCAGTTTATACAGACATGATGCAAAGCATGGTTTAGTTCAAGAGTAACTAGCTTAGTGCCCTCCATTTGTTGTGGATATCAGATCCCATCAGCTCCAACTGCCATGGCCAATGGCAAAGGATTTGAAGAGGAGTCATTCCAAAGTTTTACAGGGAACCCATTTCTATCCCTGTTTTAACAAGACACAAACAAGGAGAAATGAATGGCATCAAGCCATACATTTCTCCTCCCTTCCCACCTTTCCTACATAGCCAAGAGAGGAATTATCTTGCCTGTATGGTTAACTACAGCAAACAATGTCATCCTTGCCTATAATTAATTATACTTAGTTGCAACTATGATTAATTTAAGCAAACCAAATAAGCTAGTTTGCCATGATTAAACAAGTGAGTTATTTAAAATTAACAATATTTCATATTAATTATATTAATATGTTTTGGGAAGAGTATGCAAACCCACATCCCTATTTATTCATGTTAGATTAGACTAATTAGTATACACAAACTCAGTGAATATATTTAATATGATCATGGATTTTCATGCTTCTGATGAAATTGGGTCTTCATATATATTTGGATTTATTTGAGTCTTTTTTCCATTTAAATGGGTCTTTTCTTCCATAACCAGGCTACAGTGAGGAACATTGTTATTACACTATTGTATGTTCTCATGTGGCAGATTTTTGGTCCCCTTTCAACATACATGGCAACTACAACTACTAATTTATTTTTTTTAAGTCAGTGTCTTTTTAAAAATATTCTTAAGAATTTTGTGCTGATTATTTTAGAAAAAGTAACTTGAAACAGAATAAAATTGACAGAGACATGTATTCTGATCTAAGACTGTATTAAAGTTTGGATTTAAATACAAGAGCATACAAAATCAGGATCTGCTGCACTGAAATCAGTCCATTCCTAAGTAAATATTCATAGAACTGAGCTTTGTCCACAAAATGTTATACCATTATAAATCTGTTTGTCTAAACCTTTGTTATGAAATAGTGGCATCGCTGTCCTTTTTTAAAAGAAAAGCTTGGAAAGTAATTTAAGTTTGAGGTTCCTAAGAACTCTTTACATGACATTTTTTAACAAACTAGTACTAGTTGTACTTTCAGGATTTATTAGTTTATTATTTCAGCATTTATCAGACCACTGATGCTCTCAGAAACAAAGTACTAACCTTGTAGAGTTATGATTCCTGGAACTACTGAATAGCTTCTTATTTTATGCCATGGAGTATCAGGCCACCAATTACAATCAGAGGTAAAAGATGGCCATAACATGCCAACTCGACCCCTCCAGGGATTACGCGGAGCTCGATCTGCAATTGTCAAATCAGCTGAAAGAGGTTGGATTCTGTCCTTGATGCAATCAAAGGAAGTGCTAGTAGCCACAAAGACAGAGTTTCTTAGATTCAAGTGCTGTTTTTCCTGGTGGCACTGCAGCTTAGCAGGTGGTCCATAAAGTACTGGCAAGAGTCCCACAACGTTGTCTACCAGTATCACCTTCTCAACTACTATACTTCCTCCAAGATGAAACATTATCCCATAGTCATAGTTCTTGTAAGACAAAAAACCTGTGATTCTGGTGCAGTTTGGAGAGCCATCTCCTTTGTATAAATGAACCCCATGAAGACTTGAGTGAGCTACATTGTCACTGCAAAGATCCTCTGCTAAGAAACATGCTTGACCTTTGATATGAAAAGCTATCCGTTCTGAACCAGCCACGCTATTATTATGTAGTAAAACACCATCTACTGCATTTGTTTTAATGCCAGCCACCCAGAACCTTGATGTCCATGGCTGTTTGCTTAAGACAACCAGATTTCTGATGAGTGTATGATTTTGGCCTTCTAAGTGTATACCGTGCCCAATGGTATTGAATATCACATTGTCACGTAGAAAGAGTCCACTACTTGCAGTGGCTTGAATACCAACTCCGCAGCTGTGGTGAATACTGGAGGAAATTATGAAAGATTCGAGGGATGAATTTGTGATGTCAACTGATGGAGATTGTGAAGATCCAAAGTTAAAAATTTCAACGTTTGAAAGTTGAAGCACACCTGCAGGATGGAAAAAAGGACACATTTAGGAACCAGGGTTTTGGTGGGTTGTTTTTTTTTTTTTTGGTAACCTTTCATACCTTGAAAAAATAAAAACAATGATAAAAGGTATTCTACTGATGCGACTTTAGAAGTTCTTAATTCATAAATCCTTAAGATAATACTACTCCAGAATAAAAAAAAAGAAAACAAATAAGTATCAGAATACACATGGATATTATTCAAAGAGTTACTCAGTGATACAGATTTTACATTCAGTAATGCCTATATAACATCTGCTGCAGAGGATAATAGTTTTCACTCCAAACAGCACATTTTGAAACAGAATTGCTATTACTTTCCTCACAAATTACTATTATATTATCACACTATTATTAAATAAAAGATCATTTATAGTTCCCACATTCACATGTTTTTGGTCAATTGATGGACCAAATGCTTTTAGTTGTACCACAAATCACATTTCTATGACATGTGACATACAATGGAACACCTCTATTTATTAACAAGTACATAACCTGTATTGCATAATATTTAATTTTAGTTAATCACCCACAACAGTAGGTTGAATAATGACTATCAAATGGAATTCATGTTCTTTTAAAAAAATACATGGGAAACCTACAAAATTAAAATATTTTTCTTCTAAGCTAGATGGGTTGAGAACAATGTGTAAAATAATTATCAATACTTAAGCACCTGCATCTTGGTTTGCACAGCTCCAAGGTCTCACCAGAAGCCCTCCAGTGCAATCCATGTCAGACTTAATCTGAATGTTTCTTGTCAGAAGCCCAACTTCTGCAGCCAGGAGAATCCATCGACCATCTTCTAAACGATGGGAATGCCCTACACAGATCAAAATGACAGAAAGCAATAGAAATGGGACAGCTTTGATAAACCCAACATGGAAACTCTACTAATTCTTCCCTTCAGAAAACAGTTTACATCTCCAGGCTATGTACAGGAGGACTTTATAAGTTATTGCAGATTCAGAACCTTGGAAAGAGTCATCGTCTTTGTTACTGTACTATCTTTTAACAACATGGTTTTCCTCACATTTCATACAGCAATCACTGATGTAGAGAATAACATATCAGAAGTAAGGAGCATAATACCGCAGTTCTTTTGTAATCAAATATTTTACAGGCTTAAACTCAGTTCCATGGCATCTCCAGTTTAAAAGAGGTTAAATACAAGTTCAGAGTATCTGCACCTACCTAAAACTTTGCAGGCATTTGTAATTCTAGTGGTATGAGACAGCTTTATCTGTTAGAATCAGCAGTTAAATAGAGAAATAATTGAGATAATTCATTCATTATACAGGTGCTGATTGCCTGCTTAATTATGTCTTAAGAAGCAAGTACCAGTCTTCAAACTAAGCTGAGATGCAAAGATTGCTGGTCCCAATCTATGCTGATTATAGCTTCTCTAGAGAAGTATCTCCACAAGTGACTTACAACATCTTCTAGAATTATTCAACTATTGTGCCAAAAGAACAATAATGGGAACAGATTTTATACTACCTCAGTGATGGCTGGGTTAAGCCAGAAGCCACTATAAGTCACTGGTTTTTGTGTGTACAAGATTGCCTATATTTAGAGCCTAGATGCACATAGTCCTCCCTGAAAAGTCTTGGGTACAAGACTGTACATTCATAGACTCTGCATGTGAACTTAAAATCAATTTGTAGCAGTTGGGGCATGACTCCAACCCTTGCCCTTCCAGGCATAAATCTCTATTCCAACCGATTGTCTTCATAAGGCTAACTACCTTATGAATATCTCACAATTCCCATTTTGTTACTTCATTAAAGCAGACAAGAGAAAATGTGAAGGCGCACTAGAAAGGAAAAGCTATTGAATAACGTCAAGATTATTGAGGAGAAATAGTGAATGTTAGGGAGCCTTTAATGGTACTAAGAATCATGATACAAGCTAAGCATAAGAGACAGATTACATACCAATATGTCTGTGGAGAAGACGCTCATGGATCCTAATGCTATGATTGTTAACTCTTTCCAAAGTGATTATTTCAGCTTGATGGGGTTCATAAGAGGAGGAACTGACAACAATACTGTCACCCTGATGCCAGTCCAAATGATCTCGCACCATAATCCTGTAAATTTCAAAAGAAATACTGTGAAGTTCCCATGAAGTATTACTTCTTTTAAAGCATACAGAAATACTACAGGAAAAAAAAATAGAGAATGCTTACTAAAATACAGATTAATTCACTGATGAAGACGACTTTGTAAGTGGTAAAACTATTCTATAGGAAGAATGTGAGGAAAATACATATTTAAAAGAACAGTACAGGACACTTTTTTTTTTCCTGAAATAATTAAGGAAAACTGAACTTTTAAATGATGTGTTAACAAATCTGCCCTTACAGTATCAGCAGGGTAATGAACAAAGTTCTGGAAAGTTTGGGAGTTGAAGGCATTGTTCTGCAATGGTTCAGCTCATTCCAGTCTGTATTGGTGGGGAAGGAAAGGTCAACTGGCTGGCCCCTGACTTGTGGGGTGCTGCAAGGGTTGGTCTTGTCTCCCCTGCTTTTCAACATCTACAGTATATAAAATCTCTGGGAGGGTTAATTCAATGGTTTGGGGTGCAGTACCATCAATATCCTAATGACACACAATTGTACATTGCCACCCTGGGCCATAGGGGAGATGCTGTTGACTCTGTTTCCCAGTGCCTGGAACTGTCAGTGTCTGGATGGGAGGGAACAGACTGAAACTGAATCCTGGAAAGTTGGAGTTCCTACGGATACACTAAGCTCCTCTGTCACCAGCATGTATAGGCAAGCACTACCCATTATTACTTATGTATAGGCAAGCACTACCCATTAAGGAGCAGGTCTGTGACCTTCTGGACTCCTGGCTCCTGATGGATCTGTAGGTGGAAGCTGTGATCAGAAGGGCTTATGTCCAGCTCTGGGAGTATGCCAGTTGTGGCCTTACCTGGGGTAGAAGGACTTGGCAACAGTAACTCGTGCCCTTATCCCCAAGACTACTGTACTGTGCTCTACTTAGGGCTGCCCTAAGTAAATATTCAGAATATTCAGAAACTGCCGTTGGTTCAAAATACAGCAGTCTGTGTACTTTTGAGCTCCTGATGTTGGGAGTGCATAGGCCCGGCTTTGGTTGTCAATTGGTTTCTGGGTCCAATTTAAGGTGCTGGTTTTGATCTATCAAACTCATTGTTCTTGGCACATGGAAATCTTCAGGACCTAGCTGGCTCCTTCTGTGCTGGTTTTCCACAAGCTCCTAAGACTGAGCTTTTTCAGAAAGCCTTCCCCTGATTTGAATTGTTGTTGCCATCTTTTATTCTCTTTTTATTTTTGTAGTGTTGCTGTAGTTTTCATTTTATATGGGGTTTGTTTTATATTGTATTTTTAATGCATGCCACCAAAAGTAATTTTTTAATGTGGTGGCCTACAAATATGTTTAATTGATTAATTAATCAAATATATCAGTAAATGGTAGCATCATTCTGAAATGTTGCTGAAAAGGTCCTGCCATGTCCTGAACCCACAATTGCCTCTCTTGCAAAAAAAAAAAAGTAACAAAAAGAAGGGCTTCCTTATTACCTATTATCTAACATCTACCTTTCATTCCCAGGTGCAGCATCATTTCCAAGATGTGTCCATGACTTTCTGGTGTAAGCACTGTGCATCTGCAGCTTCCCAAAAACACCTTGAAAAGAGAAGAAGAAACTAGCTGTGATTCAAAAGATGCTAAGCTTCGCAAACACTTCAACATACTAGGGAGGACATCTCAGCTGTGCTGGAAATGCACCCATCCAAGCTAGTTTGTACTGCTGGAGGAGGTTTGGAGACTTCATAAAATCTCCAAGGCAGTTCCCTGAAGACTACATTAGGAAGATCCCAACTCTAGCGGAAGGGTGAACTGGCTTTTTGGATTATAACCCGTATGCTCTGCAAGGTCATACCAGCATTAGAGTAGGAAAGTGACAACTTCCTTGTGGGATTAAACAGCTTGAAAAAGACAATATATCTACAAAACCTAGTAGAGAGAAAAGAGGTCATTCAGTGAAAAGAGTTTATCTCCTATTTGAAATGAAAGCCTGCTCAGTGGCCTATCACTTTGGAACATGGATAAGCAAACTCTCTGATGCTGAGGGGTGACTCTGTCCCACTCCTTTCTTTCCCTGTGTGTTTATGGAGAAGAGAGCTGTAATGAGAATGTAAATTAATTTGCCCTCCATGCTTTCACATATGGAAGGCCCAAAGAGGTCTAAAGTCTCTTCCTAAATGTACACATACACTCCCAACACACACACATGCATGTGCAGACACAACCTGCCCTCCCCCTCCCC